TGGGGAAGAGCAATTAAGGCTGTGCAAAACTTGCTTCCCTGCCACCCTTGTGTGTGTTTTTGGAGAGCTGGCACAGAATGTGAGTGAGCTGCAGCTTCAACCCTCATGGAGAAAGCGGCATAAATCAGAGCTGGCTTGTGGCTTTACTCTGTAAAAACAAACAAATAAAAAAAAAACAAAAAGGAATCTTGGGGGTGCAGATGACCCCGGTGTAAAGGCAAAGCAAATAAAATTTGAAATTACACCTTGAAAAATTGAACATGAAGAATATTTGATTTCATTAACGTCAATTTAGGTGATGGAGCAGCGCCAGAGGAGTTGAGATGTTGCAATTGAATATACTCAGTGAGAACCTCCAAAAGAAACATCTCCTAAATAAGGCCTGATTTCCTATTGGGGAAGCAGGATGCTATTTTTTCATTCAGTCTGGACAACATCACCATTTACCGTTTTTGTAGCCCTGGAGTGCATCCAGTGATTGGTGTTTCCCCACCGTCATCCCACAGGAAAGCAGCAGAGCCAAAAATATTTGAAGTGCCTTTGCAGGGCGGGCGAGCAAAGCTGGGCTGGGGCAGAGGGGAGGTGTCACCAGTGCTTGGGATGAGTCCAGGTGTCACCCCTGTCCCTTCCTTCCCCAACACAGCCAGGCTAAGGTCATCCACCAGCCGCCAGGCGTGGAGCCAGGGCGCTGAGAGCTTCCCATCACACAAGTGACGCTGCTGGTGGGCTAATGCATGCCTTGGCAGGGTCCATCACCGGGAGTTTATTTATGTCAACAAGGTTTAAAAGCCATCGAGGCTGCCTGGAGCATTACAATTTACACTGGAAAAGGAATGAGCTTTTCTCTTCCAAAGCCGACATCCTTGCATGGGTGTGGCAGGAGATAAAGTGCTCATAGAAAATGAAAATACAGGAGGGGGGTTTCTGGGGTCTGGCATGGTCTGTGGACATCATAAGCATTCAACAGGCAAGAAATGGGCTGGGAAAGGGCTAGGAAGCTGTGACAGAAGGCTGAGCTCAAGGACAGTGAATAGGCCAGAATACAAAGCTACTGCAGTGTCTTCAGTGCCTGCAGGGAGACCACAAACCTGATATCCTTTTTTTTTCATGGCTGGGCTTCACAAGCGAAGATTTGGGGAGGGCTCTATCCACGTTTGTTGCAAGCACGTTGGTGGCTAAAAAGGCCAATGCGAGATAGACAAGTCCGGTTGCAAAAGGCACAGCAGAAAGACTCCTTAGGTGGTATATTCTGCAAGACACGATTCTTTCTGCGTTGTCTTTTCTCCTCAAGAGTGATCCTGCATGTGTTGTCAAAAGAAGCAGCAGTGTTAAAGATAGTGTGTCTCCAGACCTCCTGATTGGAGGCCAGAGTAGACCAGTTATGTGCATATTTTGCATAAAAGACACAGCAAATTTTGTGAAAAGAAGTCTTTTCTGATAACATGGACCTGGGGGCTTGGAGAAAGCACTACAAAAGCAAAACAGCCACAGTGGTTCAAAGTGATAACCCACCAAGCCCAGAGTCCTGTTTCCAGAAACCCAGAAGAATGACCAGTGCTGTGCCTGGGTGTGAAGCTCCTCAGCTCAGACGTACACCATGCACAGCCCCCCTTCCAGGATGAGAGACCCAGGGACAGCAGGAGACTCACCCACTTTGCCCTTTCTGTGCCAGCAGTGACTTCCATCCCGTCTCCCTGCCCTTGCTACCCAACCCCTAGCTGGCTCCTCACATGGAGCCACAGCACTGATCACCCACCATTTCAAGATGCTGAGACCCAAACCCCCTTCTGCACATGCCAGGAGCACATGCTGTGCCAGGAGACACTGCGACCTCCTCCCAGGGTGGGGAATGAACCAACACCCCCGAGGTCTCTTACAAGAGCTAAAGCAATTTGGTCTTGCATTGTGCAGAGGGTAGGGCTCAAGGATCAATGAGGTAACATGTTTGGACAGGCTTGGCTACGGAGGCCTGTTGTCCTCTCCGCTTAGCCACTGAAGAGTACATCAGCCTACGAAGATTCAAACTGTAAAAGAAATAAAAATAAGCTTTAAGCACAACATCATGATTGCAGTGAGGACACACCTAGATGCTGCAAACTAACACTGCAATTTTAGAATCATAGAACCACAGAATCATTTGGGTTGGATTTAGATTGAGACTCACTCCTCACTCCCTTTAGATTGAGTCCAGCCATTCCCCCGGCGCTGCCAAGTCCACCACTAACCCACGTCCCCAAGCGCCACATCTGCACGGCTTTTAAATCCCTCCAGGGATGGGGACTCCACCACTGCCCTGGACAGCTGTGCCAGGGATTGACAAGACTTTCTGTGAAGAAATTTTTCCTAATATTCAATTTAAACCCACTTCCTCTCGTCCTGTCCCTTGTTCCCTGGGAGCAGAGCCCGACCCCCACCTGGCTCCACCGTCCCACCAGGGAGCTGTAGGGAGTGAGAAGTTCCCTCCTTTTCTCCAGACCGATCTCCCCCAGCTGCTACTCATCAGACTTGTGCTCAAGACCGTTCCCTGGCTCCGTTCCCTTCTCTGGACATGTTGCAGCACCTCAGTGTCTTACTTGTGCCACGCTGAAGCCACAGTGCCACCTGCTCCAAATCCTCTGCCACCATCCCAGCAGTGAGGGTAGCTGCTCCCGTCGCTGTGCCAGCCCCACTAGCGGCACAGCTCCTCTCCAAACAAGATTTGACATGTCATTTAAGAAAATGCAATCTTTTTAAAGGCTTTAGCTTTGAAGTGGATGCTGTGAAGGTCTGACTTAGCTGATAGCTACACAAACAGGCGAGACAGCACAGTCGCCTGATGGACACAGATCTGCAAGCAAAGGGACATGCTCTGCCCCAAAAACAAGTGAGAATGGACCAGTCTGGGATGTGAAAACGTGCTCTGCAAGTCTTAGGCAAGGCAGGACCAGAAAGCAGGTCTTCCCTTTCCTGCTCAGCCCTCCATTCCCTTCATAGCCCACATCTGCCCAAATACTTCCCTTGCAAGGATTTACTGGTCCATACATTTATATATTTTCCATAACCTATTTAAATTCTGTTTGTTGTTTCTGTGGTAGACAACAAACTCTTAAAAATGCAGATCCCAAGTTTTAGTTGTATATGTTTTTGGGGAACAGCCACCAAAAACTCAAGGCAAATTAATACCATCAGCCAACCCTGAGAACATGAAGCACAGCTTACACAGAAGTTGTTCAGCTTGTCTTAAGAGAGAACTTTATAAAGATGCCATATGTGAAGATTAACAGATCAGTGTTTTTAATTGTCTTTTGGAAGTAAAATCAAGTCAGAGTGAAGCAAGGAGAAATCAAAGGATATGTTTGTGTTTATTTAAAACTCAATGGCATCTTTTTTGTTAGGGAATTTACTTTTTCTTTTAATTTGCATTTTAAATTGTATTGTGATAGAAAGGTAAATGCTGATCCATCAATCTTGGGTCCTCCCTGCCCCTGAAAAAAACCTCACCCGAGAATGTTGTGTTTTTCTGCATGTACTCCCCCAGGATTTTGAGGGCGGGGAGGGATAATTTCAGTACATCTAATTCAGGCAATCGAATTTTACTCCCTGCACCCATCAAATGATTTAAGCCTCCTTTCCCTCCCTGGAGGCTGGTGCACCCAGGGCACAAGAGCTGGGAAGGCAGCCAGGGTGAGGATTTCAGGTGAGTCTGAGGAAGAGGTTTTATTGAGGCTGGTAAATCATCCACAGGCTGTCACAGAGGCCTGGGGCTGCTCAGTGCCCTCGAGGGGGGAAAAAGGTCCATGGCAATTATATTTCCTAAATTGACTTCTAGCTGACACAATAGCTGAACAATATTCCTTAGTAGAAATGTCAAAATTCAGAAAAAAATAATCATTTTGCCCAAGTGACATAGAATCCTGGAAAGGTTTGGGTTGAAAGGGATCTTAAAGCCCATCTCCTTCCACCTCCTGCCATGGGCAGGGACACCTCCCACTAGCCCAGGTTGCTCCAAGGCCCGTCCAACCTGGCCTTGGACACTTGCAGGGATGGGGCAGCCACAGCTTCTCTGGGCAACCTGTGCCAGGGCCTCCCCACCCTCTGAGTAAAAAACTTCTTCCACGTATCTAATCTAAACTGACTCTCTTTAGATTTAAAACCATCTCTCCTTGCTCTATTGCTACAGGTCCTAATAAAAAGTTTGTCCCCAAGACAACCCAACCTTCCAGCCCTGCTCAGCCCCCCTCACTTCCCTCCATGTATGAGTGCTCCTCACCCATCCCAAGCTATGCAAGAGAGCTCTAAAATAATTTCAGAGTTGAATTTTTGCCCTGAAGCAGAGCAGAAGGGAGGGCATGGGAGCTGAAGAGAGGCACCACTGGGGCTGGGTGCAGGTGGAGAGAGGGAGGAAGGCTCCCTGAAACTGCCTCCCCACTGCTGCTGCACCTTCAGGCAGGACTTCTCCACATCCCCTGGGAAAGTGCCAGCTTCTGAGCAGGGTGGCTGAAGGATATGATGCACAGTGACATCTTGAGATGGCTGACAGATCCCAAAATCACCTCCGTTTCAGAAATGTTCTTTTTTTTTGCAAATGCAAAATAATTTACAGATCCTCTGCTTGGGAAAAAAAAAAAAAAGCTCTTTGTAATGACTTTTTAATGACTCATCAATCTTATCTCCCTTTTTGCTTTTACCTTTCCTATCTTCTTTTTTCTTGCTACTGTCTCAATAGCTGGGGTGGGCACGTAGGAGATCATGTGAATTTAGCAACCCTTCCCCAGTATTTTTGTCCTCAATTGTCACCATTTGGAAATACCAGCATGAGAATGGGCATCAGGGTGGAGGGACTCTGGCAAGTCTGTCAGACATGGGCAGCACATGGTGTTGGCACAGGTCAGGAGAGGTGTAAGAGCCATGAGGCTGCTGAGGGACCAACTGGGGCATGGCTGGTGGGTGCCATGGTGTTACAGCGCTCAGTGGGTCCAGCTAAACCCCTCTGCACCTTTTTCCTTGTCCTCCCCCCGCAGAGCGAGCCCGAGATTACCTGCACAAGACCGGGCGCTTCATCGTCATCGGTGGCATCGTCTCGCCCGTGCACGACTCCTATGGGAAGACGGTGGGTTGTCCTCATTTTCCCTCTCTGCCTCCTGTGTGCAATGGTATCTCTGAAACCAGGGATGAGCACTGGGCAGCACTGCCTGACCCATGGTCCCTTCCTGTTCATCTTCTACCTGGGGCAGCTCCTGACCATGGGAAAGTCTCGGAGAGGAGGCAAAGGATGAAACCACTCACTCTTTGGATAAAAGCCACAGCAAGGTCCTACAGCCAACCAAAGTACTAGACAGCAAAGAGAAACGTTCTCACCCAAAACAGTGGTGGCCATCTTGCTGGGTAGTTTTTTGGTTTTGTTTTAATTATTTCAAAGCAAAAATTTTTTTTTTTTTTTGCGGGGATGGAAACTATGAAAACGGTAGCCTTTAGAAGCACTTTCCAAATTAGGAGTGGAGAGTTTCCTCCTCTCCTGAAAGCTGGAGAAATTTAATCAAGAAACCACCACCCCAGCTCTGGCTCTGCTGCAGCACGGAGCTGGGAGTGGTGGTGCTGAGCAAATCTCACCTCCTGGTGCGTAGTCAGGGCTGACACCCAGCAGGAACTCCTCCCTTCCAGCAAACAGGAGCTTAAATAAATGTTTACGGGCAGGAATGAATCCTTCTGGCCTGTCTCACCTGAGTGAGCCTGATGTTCTGCCCCAGGAAAGTTTGCAAGCTCAGGCTGGCCGGGGTATGATGTAACCATTCCTCCTTCACCCTCTTTTGCAGGGTCTGGTCTCGAGCCGGCACCGCCTGACCATGTGCCAGCTGGCTGTCCAGTCCTCTGACTGGATCAGGTGAGTGGCAGAGCCCACCCTGCTGTGACATCAGCGGCCTGGCAGCCCCTGCCCCTTCCCAGCACCGCGGTGGCAAAGGCCTGTGTGCAAAGCGGAGATGCCACCAGCTGGTAGAGCTCCAGGACAGACTTTCTCCTCTCCAAGCCCAAGCTTGATTAAAAACCAAAGACCTTCCTCTCTCAGTCCAGCAGAGAACAGATGCAGATGGTTAGACCACCCTTCAAGGGAGCTCTGGGGATTCAGGAGGTCTTGCAAGCCCCCTGCTCAGCCTGTGGTGTCTGGGCAAGGCTCAAAGTTACTCAGCCCACCCCAGCTTTGTGCTGTGGCACCTTCCCTTTCCACACCTGCAGCACCAGCCCACAGACTCTCAACTTCCCAGCATCACCACATGGCATCTGGTGGCTGAGGTGGGACCAGAAACACCTTGAGCTGCCCTCAGAAACAGGGTTGTGACATGTGTAGTCACATCCAATCCCAATGAAAGCTGGTTAGTTGGGCACCAAGAGCTGAAAGGTACTCTGGCCCACGTTCAGGTCTCCAGAGCTGTTAGGAAGGGCTGGGTGGAAGGGCTGGAGGAAGGACGTGGTCCATGGCACACCTGTGGAGTGATGGTAGCTGCTTGTGGCACTGCTGGCCAGCCCGGTGGGGAGGAGGTGGCACGGCCAGGAGGTCCGGTGGCCATCGGCCAACACTGTTGCCTTGCTGTGTTCCCACAGGGTGGACCCCTGGGAGTGCTACCAGGACACCTGGCAGACCACCTGCAGTGTGCTGGAGCACCACCGTGACCTGATGAAGGTGAGGCAGTCCCTACACCAGGGGTGAACCCAGGGGTGAGGGCATGGGGAGGGTGCAGAAATGGGGTTGCTCTTTCCCCAGTGTGAGGACAACTAAAACATGTCTGAGACAGGATGAGAGAAGACTTGCAGGAACATCTGTGAGATCCTGACCTGGAAGAGGCACAAGCTTCCTTGTCACAGGCACTTTGAGCTCCTTGCTCTGATGTTGGAAGGAAATTGAGCCCTCCAGCTGGAGGCAGCAGCTATCCTGGACCCAGGAACACCAGGAGGGGAGCAGGGATGAAGGCAGAGAGAAGGCAGGGATGGGCACAAGCCAAGCATTATTGTTGCCTACTGGTTCCTCCCAGAGGGAAAGGAGAGGTGGATGGGCCTTCCCACTCACCAGCTGAGCCAAAACTGCTGTATGAACCTGATGGAAAAACTCAGTGGAAAAATTCAGCACCTGGGAAGTCTCTGGGAGCACAAACCCCAGGAGGAAAAGTCCCTCCAAAACCCAGGCAGGTCTTAGAGCCATGGGAAAAGATGGCTGCCCTCTGGTGACTGCAGGGAAGCAGGGCTGCTGGCACACTTGGATACAGCAAGAAAACCAAAGATGGGAAATGGATGAAAGAGCATCACAGAAAGTTACAGGCAGCCCAGACAGGAGACACAGCATCAACCAGCCCAGTAGAATGTGCAGTGCATCCAAGGACCATGATGCTGAAGCTGGGGAGTCACGCCATGCTTTCCTTCTCCTGCAGGGACTGGGAGGGAGAAGAGAACGTGTTTGTTCCTTGCCAGCCTCATGGCTCCACACAAAAAGTTAACACTACTTTAATCACAAGTCATTATCCACAGGGTCCTGCTGGCCTCAGGCTCATGGGACTGGGGATCCTAAAGTGAGCTTGGACATACCTGTCACTGAAGATGACCTTGAGCCAAGGGTGGGGAGGCTTGATATGGGGACAAAAATGTTTTGGGAGGTTGCTGGGGTGAAAACGCTCTTCCAGCTACACTTCTCCCTCATTGCAGAGAGTGACTGGATGCATCCTCTCCAATGTCAACACGCCCTCCATCACCCCTGTGATTGGCCAGCCCCAGAATGAGTCCTCGCAGAACATCTACCAGAACAACAACAACGTCTCCAACAAACCCACTGCAGGTAGGTGGCATCAGGGTAGGGAAGAGGGGGATGACTACTGACCCCTTACCTCCCAGCCAGGGCTGCCAAGCATTAGGAACAGTGCTCCATCACATTGTCTTTGGACAGATGGCTCATCTGGCTCTGTGCACCAAGCCCAGGGTGGGGTGGGGGTGCAATGGAGAAGTTACCATCCAGCACAGCAAGGGGAGCCAAGAACAGCATAAAATGGCTGTAAAATCTCACTGGGCTTCAGCTGGATGATGTCCAGGCAGGGAGGGCAGCTAAAGGAAAAGGTACCTGGTGCCCACAGGGTGCATGCAAGGGAAGAACTGGCAGGAGAGATGATGGAGCTGGATCCCCTATGAACCGGTGGGATATGGGACATGAAAATATTAGCTAGGGAGAAGAGGGAGAATTACTTAAGTCCCATAAAAATGGACATCTTGTGATTTTCTTAGTGCTTTTAGCTGTCCAGCTGGTCTCTTTAAGGCACAGGGTAGCACTCTGGGGAGTTAATACCAAGAAAGGAGGTGGTGGGGAGGTGCTGGGAGCAGTTTCTGCACAGGAGCATCTTGCAGGACCAGGGTGGCTGAAGAGCTTGTATGGGTTAATTGCATCACCTCTCTCCCATTAATTTTCCTTCACCTTTAGCAAAGATCCTGGGGAAGGTGGGAGAAAGCCTGAGCCGGATTTGCTGCGTTCGCCCACCCATGGAACGCTTCACATTTGTGGGTACGTAGAGGAAAGGTCCAGTGTCAGTCCAGCCCCCAGCCCTCCTCCCAGCCCCCTGTGCTAGGCCAGGCACCAGCACCTCTCTTTTTCTTCCCTTTCTCAGATGAAAATGCCAACCTGGGGACAGTGATGCGATATGAGGAGATCGGTGAGTGCACAGCCCCCCAGCTCCCCTGGGCCAGCGCCATGTGGCTTGGGAGCTACTGGACAAAAGATCCAGGGGCAAGTGAAGGATATAGAATCATCTCACCCTGGTGCCAGCTACTGGGGCTCAGGGGTGAAACAGGAGCAGTGCTTAACTGTGCTGAGCCTGGCCCTGTTGGCAGACAGCAGCTGAAATAATGGAGTGAGCAGTGGGGACACGGCCCCCAGTGCAGACACAGACCTACCATGGCATGATACCTTGACAGTCACTCTAAGTGCCCTCCCATGGTGGTGTCATCCCATCCTGGCAATGCCTGCAGCCCAGAGGGATTTCAGCTGCCCTTTCCTCTAAAGCCCTGTAAGGGTTTCAGGCCCACCAGGCTGCCCCAGGCATGGCCCCACCACACATCACCCAGAGCTCTGTGTGGAGAGAGTGCTGGTGGCTCTGACACCCATTTCATGGGCAAGCTCACACACAGCCTGGCACTACAGGCATCCCAGCACCTACACCACACAGAGCCCAGAGGCTTTGGCTACCTGGAAATGCCGAACAGGGAGGCACCCTCCCATGTAGCCATCTCTTCCCACTCCTCTGAGTGGGTTTATGGCTTTTCTCTGGTAGCTGTGCAAATAAATAAATCTTTAGGGGCCTGTCAGAGCAGAAAGCTCCTTCCCATGCCACAACTTTCTTGCTGAGCTGCGAAGCCAACCCTGAAGTTATGGGGCTGGTGCCTGCTCAGCCCCATGTGCTCACACCTGTGAGCTTCTCTCCTTTTCTTCAGAACTTCGCATCTTACTGCTCTGTGGCAGCGACCTGCTGGAGTCCTTCTGCATCCCTGGTCTCTGGAACGAGGCGGATGTGAGTCACCACTGCTGGGCATCCCTCCATGCTCCTCTTCCCCAGGCTCCCTTCCTCCTCCTCCTCTGCTTCCCACACCCCATGCTCTTGGGAGCCACTCAGGTCTCTTGGGATGACAGGAGCTGTGCCCACCGGCCCCACTGCCTCCTCCTTCCCAACCCTGACCCTCACCTCCCTTACACACTTCCACAGGGCTTCCACAGACTCAAGCCATGCTCCCACTCACTGCTCATGCAGAGGATGTAATCTGGGATGCAGGGTGAGCCCATCCCAAGGCTGTGCTTCCACTCCTTGTCCCTCAGAAGGAGGCAGAATCAAGTAGATGCCAATCCCAGCAGAATGAGGTGCGCAGGTAGGAAGTAAGATCTTTACAGAAGTTGCCCATACATTAGAAATTAAACACAATTAGAGCCAAATCAACAGCTTTTACTGTTGGTCCTTGCCTGAAAAAGCCACATTTTCATGGGAGAACACCAGCCCTGGAGAGAGGATGGGTTAATGACCCACATGCTGCTCCAGAGCAGTGCTGGCTATGGGGTCTCCCTCAGCTCTTCACTGAGATCAGGCAGTGAGCACAAACCTCCCTCCTTGAACCTCTCAATGATTTCTAAATTCGGTTACCACATCTTCAGTCCTAAGTTTTGTAAAGCAATTAGGTGGCAGGTATCTCCTCCAAAAGGCTTAAAAAGCTGAGATGAGGCAAGTCCTGAAGCCCAGCACAAAGGATGCAAAAATGTCCTCCTTAGGCAACCTCTTCTGCTGCCACCTCCTTCTACCACGAGTTCTCCTCCAAGTCTGAATTCATCACCCAGTAATGGGATTTAACCCCGTGCCTTTTATTTCATCCACTGCAGACCACTTGCCTTGATAATTCTGTATTTCTGCCAAAGGCTGCTGACATATCCCCAAACTCACTTTCCATCTCCATCCAGACCATGGCCCAGCTTTCACAGAGTAGGGGGGGTTGGCTGACAGTGGCAGGTTTTGTGTGGGGTGATTATAAAGCTCTCCACACTTTGGGTTGTTCCTAGATGGAGGTGATCGTCGGGGAGTTCGGGATCGTGGTGGTGCCCCGGGATGGAGCAGATCCCGACCGGATCATGAACCACTCCTCCATCCTCCGCAAGTACAAAGTGAGTGGATGCACACATGGCCAGGGAAGGCTGTGAGAGGACCCACAGCCTCTCTCTACCCAGGAGAGCACTTCTGCCACAGGGCACAAAATGTCTCGGGGTCAAATGCTCTCAGCGGTCGGGTGGGATGAGCCACCACGCAGCCACCCCCCGAGGCCAGCAGGGTGGGGAGGCTGGTGGGGCAGACACCCACTTTTAAGCCATCCCTTCACTCCTCTTTCCCTCCTTCCCCTGCAGAACAACATCCTGGTGGTGAAGGATGACTCAAACCACCCCATGTCGGTCGTCAGCTCCACCAAAAGCAGGTGGGTGATGCAGGGGGACTGGGGGAAGAGCAGGGTGCCCCCAGCCAGCCCCTCCATTGTCCTCACATGGACACCTGACCCATCCAAGTGGGCTCTGATCCCTTTCTCTCTCCCCATGCCCCCAGACTGGCCCTGCAGCACGGGGATGGACACGTTGTGGATTACCTCTGCCAGCCTGTCATCGACTACATCCTCAAGAGCCAGCTGTACATCAACGCCTCTGGCTAAGAGCCAGAGGCCTTGCAGCCTACCTGCAGCCTACCTGCAGCTCTCCATCACTCTTTTTTCTCTCTCTCAGTCCGTGTCTCCATCTCTCTCCCCATCCCATGGCCTCCTGCCCGTGTCTGCCTCTCACCCCCAGCACCAACACTCCATCGTGCAGCAATGTCCAGGGAACAGTTTGGTCTCTTTTTTGGGGTACTGCCCTGCCCTGCACACGTGGGGAGGGAGGAGGAACCGGTACGAGAGCGATGTACTTGGTGTGCTCAAGGGGAGGCTGCCCTGGCACCCCCTCCCAGCATGTCCCTGGGAAAAGGCCCCCTGGTCCGTCCTCCCAGCATGCTCAGAGCAGGGGCTGCCTCTTCTGCATCATCTTACAGAACTTAATCTCAATAAATCTAGGTGCATTTTTTTTATTCAATAGTTTTAGTGCGAGCCCTTTGAGCCTCTCGACGCGGTGACCAACCAAACCCTGGTCGGCACCGGCTCGGTGCCTCATGGCGCGTGAGCCTCCCAGACTGGCAGTAGGACAGCCCAGCTAACCAGTCCTCCTCCTGGTCCTGAAAAATCATGGAGAAGGGAGCAGAGGCCTTGGCAATCATCGCTGCCAAAGCATTGCAGGGAGAATGTCATGTCACCTTCCCTTGGCTGCAAGAACTCAAGCCACTCCCTGGGTGACTTGAGTTGGGGTGATGTTCTACTCCAACCCACAGCACCTAGAAAGGGATCTGCCACTTATGGAGCCGAGAAATGAGGTAGAAAGAAGCAGGTAGTGAGCCAAAACCTCTGGTGACAATTTTCCCCAAAGCTGGTTGGGTCCATTACCATCCTCTGGCCTTCAGATCACTATTTCTCTCTGTAAACTTCCCCCTTCTCCCGTCTCTCTTCCTCTTCTTGAAGAGTTCATTAAATGCATGATACTTTCCCCCTCCCAAACCAGCTGTGGCTACTTCGCATATCCCTTGGGACATGCCAGACTCCTGCTCTCCCACCTGTGACGTGCCTCCAGATACCGAGGATGGAGCCTGGTGGAGACATGCCAGGGCAGGTAACAGGGAGCAATTACTGAAGCCTTGTGGAGAGGAGGGTTGCTGGAGCAGGCTCGTGTCCTGCTGAGCATCCCTAGGGTGCAAGGACCCTGCACAGCTCCTGGGGAAGGTCACAGCCACAAGGAGGAAGGTTTACCCCTCACCTTCTGTTCTCCCTTTGCTCCATCTAACCTTATATTGCTTCAGGTGGAGCCGTACAGCTGCCTGTAGCTGAGAGTCCTCCATGGTGTTTCAAGGAAAGATGTGAAATTTCCTCTACTTCATCCCTTAAAAGTCCACAAAGTAGCTCTCATTGAAGCTTCAATTGGTGAGACTTTGCACTAAATTTGACCTGCCGGGTGCTGCTGGCATCCCTGGAACAGCAAACAGCTTTGGACAAAACAAGGCAGGCCATGGTCACAGGGTCCTTGCAGCAGGCAGCATTTTAGGAACAGCAGCTGACAACTTCTCAGGAGGACACAGCCCTTCCCAGAAGGGAAATCATGAGGGACAGAGGTGATGTGACTCACCCAAAGGCCCCAGAAGAGGTCTTTCCTTGCCAGGGATTTCCCTCTGCACGGTGAGGTTTGTTCAGGAACTGTTCTAAATTTGGCAGCTGAGTCCCTCAGCAGCAGCTCTGGTGTCTCCAGGTGGTTGCGTACGTATTCCATGGGATGAGGAGATTTGGAGATGCCAAAGCAGAGAGGGTGGCGAGTGTGTGGGGGACTCAGAGAACAGGAATGCCTCTTTTCTAGGGAGGTCTTCAGCTAGCTGGAGCTGGTCAGCGCCACCCCACTGAGCTCCCTCAGCTGACATGCTAGGCAGGTGCCCGTGGTGGGACACCTCATCCATGAGGTAACCACTAACCAGGTGCTGGACTCCACCCATTGTTGTCACACATTCAGGTTGTCAGTCTCCCCTCCCTCTCCACCCCAACACAGAAGGTATTCCACACAGCAGCCTTCCCTCCTTGCCAGACCTCACTGTGTTTCTCAGCTCCCAGCTGGAGGAGAAGCAGCAGTGGTGGCAACCAGCCTCCAAAACACACCCAGAAGGGCTGAACCTCCTGGGGGGGCAGCGCCTCTTGGAAGGGGCACGAAAGACAGGGGGTTCCCACTGAGGAAAAGACACGGGGAAGTAAAACAAAGGAGATGGAGAAGGAAGGAAGGTGTCATGCCCGAGAGCCACCTCTGATCCTCCCTCCCTCCCTTAGGTACGCGGGATGGGACGTGGGGACACCAGTGCTTCCCACCCCACCATGGTTAGGATGGCATGGCTTAGAGACGTAGTGTTGTGGTACAGATGATGAGTATATTCTGTCTGACTAGTCTTACCTGCGTCTTCGTGTATCAGCTCAGCAAAACTCACTGATGGGGGTGGGATGGGGGGTTTGTAACGGGTCCTTCAGCTCTGGGACCCATTTGGAAAAATGTATTTGGGTGGGTATGGGAAAAAAATAATCATCTGTGATGATCCATGTGACTGCCAGGGAGGTGAGGACTGGGGTTTGCAGGGTGCAGGGGAGGGGTGGGAAGAAGCTTGTGGGTCTTGGTCTTTGAACCTCCATTTTTAAACAGTGCAATTTGCTGAAAGAGAAATGAACTTCAAATGCCCTTTGGGGGAAAAAATAAATAAAGGGGGGAGGGAAAGGGGTTGAAGTTGTCATGCCACCGATTTCACCTTTGTCAAAAGTTTTGGAGCCTTTTTTTTTCTGTTGCTATATGAAAAAAACCAGTCATTAACAAAAAAAACTTTATCAGCAAAATGTTTAAATTATGTAATAAACAAAACAAAACAAAGATGTTACTGGTGTAATTTTAAAACAGCCCCAAGACAGAGTCAGGACAAGGAGAGCAAATGGCTGGGATAACCCATGGCCAAACCCACCTAAATCAGGGACCCTGAGAAAATAAACCAAGAGGCAAGATCCAGCCAAAAGTATTCATCATTTATTGACCTCCTCCCTTTCAAAAAACTCAACTCATGGAAAAATAGCCAGGTCCATAATACCTGTCCCTATGCAGTACAACAGAAGAAGGAAGACGTGCCAGGGGTTAGAGTACATCTCACTTAAATAAAAGTGTAAGGCACACATAATACTTGGTATATCATTAAGCAAAAGCACAGATGCTGCTTCATCAGAGAATCAGAAATAAGGAGGGCTGAGTCCCCATAGAGTCCTCCTCCGTCATTCAAGACCTCCTCTTTTACCACCACACAGCTTCAGCAGAGCTGACTTACAGCATGTGGCAGCAATTTTTTTCCCCTGCATCTAAAGGAAGGTGGGAGTGGTGTCAAAATGGATCTGGACCCGCAGGAAAGCCACAGGTGTTGAAGGGAGCACTGGGGTCTTTGGCCCCACCGAGCTCTGCTCAGATGTACAACGGGAAACCCCTGTGGAGAACTACCTGAGTCTCTGAGAAACATCCAGCACCATGCAGGAGGGAGGGGGGGGGATAGGCAGCACCAAAACAGAGGCTGAAACACATTCAAGACATCTTCAATATTTTTACACCGATCAAATCAGGGCGCAGACACTGCAGCGGGATGGGACAGGGCTCTCAGACACGAGAGCTCACAGCTGCAGACCCCTAGAGAAAGCCCCCATTTCTGCAGAGTCCTGGAGACATCATCCTCCTTCTCCTGGCCTCTGGGACACCCAGGAAGCTGCCTGGTACCACAGGGACCAGTCTTGTAAGGAAAGGTTGTGCTTGAGCATGTAAGGAGGTGGTAAGGAGACCTGTGTTTGCCCAGGAGGACCTTTGACAGGAAAGCCACCCCTCAGGGGCTTTGGGACTTGTGAAGTGTGGGAGAAAGAATAGGGATACTCCTCCTGGCTGAAGGGAGCAGGTAAAGCAGGAAAGACTTTTCATCTCAGGAGCCCCTGCTAGCCTGGGATCTCCTCGTCCTCCATCCAGCACGTCACTGTGAGCTCAAAGGCACCTGGAAGCTCTTTTTCCCTCCTCTTTAGCGAACAGTAACCACCTCACTGAGAAGCACCATGGAAGACCTGCAGCTGTGTGAAAATGGTCATCAGTGCCAGAGCTCTAAGCCACAGCAAAACCACGTCAGCACCACTCCCAGGAAGGTGAGGAATGGGCAGGCTGGGAGGAGAACGCCACAGGAAGCATCACCAGCGCCACAGCTCAAAACTCATCTCTCCCATCTGTCTCTTCATGCCACTCGCTGAGCTACTGATGGTGAGGAAAACCTCACTGAGAACATGAGGAGGAGGTGGTGGTGGTGGCAGTGTCCAAAGTAAGGACAGAGGCTGTGTGTGCCAGATTGGGAGAAGGGATCCACAGGGGGTGGAGGGTGGAAAACCCCTCAGTCATGAACTTCAGGCTCCAAACCATGCCAACTCCCAAGGCTGACACCAAGCAACATCGACTTGCACCTCAGAGAAATGTTGTAGGAATGGGCTGTTCTTCAGCCAGTAGCACCTTCACAAATCAGGCGTCTTCTTCCTCCCATGAGCAAGGGACGGAGCACTTTGAAAAATTAGGGACTATCCAGGGCCAGCATGACACTGAGCTTCATCTGCCATGCTGAAATTGAGGGTAAGGATCAGTTCAACACAATCAAACGCAGCCAGTCCTGCCAGATTTGGGGAGGCTCTCCTGCCTTCAGCCTGGTAGGTGCTGCAGCCTTTCCAGAGCTTACTCATGGCAATTCAATGGCTTTTGTGTTGTAGCAGCCTGGAGGAAGACTCCTCTGGATATCCTCCAGGTTCTTTATATCGGCCAGGATCTCATCGATGTTGCTCTCCAGTGTCCGCACCCGGGCCTTCTGCAGCATGGCTGTCTGCTCCAGCTCAGACATCTCAGCCTTCAGCTGGTTGCTTCTGGTTTTGGCTTTACTAAAATTCATCTCGAGCTGCTTCAGGCCATCCTCATCCACGGCACCAGGCTGGTCTGTGGAACAGAAGGAAAACAAGGAATAAGAAAGCATAGATGGAGGCTGAGGACTACATCTTTCTAGATACTTCATCTCCACCCTGATGCCCAGCCTGTCCTGAGGTCAGCTTCCCACTAAACTCCCTAGACCCCAGTGGGGACCTGTCTCCATCCACATCCCACAGTGCTGTCACAAAACCTACTCATCAGGCGCAGCAGCTCTTCCAGGGCACTCAGCGTCTCCTGCACGGCCACCCCTGCCTGGCCGGCCTTGTCATGGACCCTCTGAGCCTCCTGAGCTGTCTGAAGGAGGAAAGGCAGCAGCTGTAAGGTGCAACTGAGCCCAAAAGGCAACAGGGATGGGGACAAGGCAAGGGAGACAGGGACCCACCTGCTGTATCACAGCAGCATCCGCCTCAACCTCCGAGAGCTTCCTCTCAAATTCATCATCTGCTTCCTTGGCCTCACGCCGCAGGGTGGCCACTGCCTTCTCCAGGGCGAGGACACCATCGGCCGTCTGGTTGGCTTCCACCTTCAGCTGGGCAATCTCCTGGGGAAGGCAAAGGCACTTTCAGAGGGGCAGAGCATGGCCAAAAGGTGCACTGGAATGCAGAGCTGATGGAAATTCCTTCTACGTGGATCCAAAATGACCGCACACTGGCCTGTATCCTTCATGTTCTCCCACCAGTTGTTTCAGAGAGCTGTTCCCATGGCAATGGCTCAACCCCTCCTGCACACATCAGCAAACCCCTGGGGAATTACAACACACATCTGGGAGCTGAACCCACAAGCAGCAATTTTGGGACCTCACAAGCCTGCCAGTGGCTCAGGCTGTGGGAGGGGAAAAATCCCCTTGGTCACTGAAAGGCAGCTACAGTGAGATGCCACAAAGATCCTCATGGAAGAAATGTGCCTGCAGATATCTGATCTGCACACCCACTGATCTACAGCCAAACTTTGGTATCTGCAGGACCCACTGTAGAGAAACTTTAGGCCAGAAATCAATGCAGCAGGTCCAAAAGTTAACCCATCAGCCCCACCATGAAGAGCTAACCATCTGCTCTTCTTCCACTGTTTTTCCTTCCAAGCTCTTTTCTGCCAGCACTAGCACTGGAGCCTGCCCTCACCTCCTGGATCCCCGTGGTGATCTCCTTTGCTTCCCCTGCAGCGCTGCTGGCTGCCTTGGATTCAGAAGCAGCGCTGCCCAGGATTGCTTTGGCTCGGTCTGTCTTCTCCCTGGCACTGGTGACCATGCTGCTGATAACGGGCAGCCTCCTCATGGCATCTTCAGCTTCCCTCCTCTTGTCACCTGCTTGCAGGTTGAACTCTGGAAGAAACACATGTAGGAATGAAGCTGCACTACCTTCATGAGATCCGACGTGGAAAGGCAAGGGAAGGGTTTCTAGGATGTTACCCCTGAGGCTCTTCAGGATTTGTTCCACCTGGTAGAAGGTGGCATTGCCAGCACTCATGGCTTGCAGGGCTGTGCTCTTGGCGAGGTTGGCTCGGGACAGCAACTGTGTCAGCTTCTGCAACAGGTCAAAGGGACACAACAGGTGGATGAAGGACAGAGTATGGGAGGACTGGACATGCCCAGAGCAGTCTGGGAGGAGCTGGGCTGGAGGAGAAGACCCATCATCCTGTTTCCAAATGTCTGCTCTTGCCCCTGAATCAAGGCTACCACAACCTGCTGGCACAGCCTTGTGCTGGGGCTCCTCAACCAGCTCCAGCCATCCTGAGTCATCTTAGCTCTAATCTTTCCAGGAGTAGGTCTTCAACCTGCCTCACATGGAGAAGGTGTGCAGGTGAGACCCTGCACCAGCAGCTCCTTGCTCACAGGGAGGTCTCCCATGGGCTTCAGAAGACCAACCCCAAGGCTGCATTTCCAAGAAAGGGTACAATCATGCTCCAGGCAGGCAGAGCTACCTTTGACAACCAGACTGGGACAGTGGTGGTGCCAAGGGCATCCCATCAAAGCTCCAGCTCCTGGAGGACAACACAGCCCCCCAGCCAATCTCTTACCGCTCTCTCGCCCTCTTGCCTTCGCAGCAGCTCCTTGGTTTCCTCCTCCCAGCGCCCCGTGCGGCTCTGCAGCTGCTTGTACTGGGCCATGTAGGTGTCCACCAGGCTCAGCAGAGCACTGGCGTCCTGCTTCAGCCGGGATGCCTCCCCCTGAAACAGAGACGTGATGGGGTCCCAGCATCTCCCCAGTGCTCCCCGGGAACCACGGGCAAAAGGGTGAGAAGATGTATATCCAATGGCTCTCCAATGGGGACAGAGCACTGGGAAGGGCTGAGCTGCTGTCAGGGAGAGCAAAAGGTCCCGCAGACACAAAGCCCTCACCTCAAAGGAGCCGATGTCGGTCTCCGTCAGGCGGGACAGGGAGTTGAGGAGCACCAGGCTGCCCTGGTAAGCCTTGTCTGCCTCGGAGGCCATTCCGTCGGCATCAGCCTTCAGGCCTCCAGCCAGTGACTGCAGCTCCTCGTACCTGCAGGGATGCGGGACTGGAGAGCCTGGTACCAGCCAGGCTGCCA